GTTATAAGGTATTTGCGGCTATCGTATATTATAGGAAATTTAATTTAAGGACACAAATTTTGGGAGAGGGGGGCTTAACAAGTACATTAATACCCTCTGGTAAAAACGGGTTTGAAAAATAATAAAAAAATGGTATATGGTATGCAGAATGATAAGGACATGTTAGCTTAGGTACCTCATGAATAACGTCATGATAAACGATTTTAGAGTTGTAATATTTGCAATAATAAAGCGTCATACATAGATACATACACGCATGAATATAATATATGAATATTCGCACTTAATATCAGCGCATTAGGAATATTGCCAGTTTCGATGAACCTTATGATTACTTGGACTAACAAGAATTGCCAGATTCGAACACTTTTCAATATGAATCGTATGGTTACTTGGACTACCAAGGATTGCCAGCTTCGAACACCTATCAATATGAACCTTATGATTACTTGGACTAACAAGAATTGCCAGATTCGAACACTTTTCAATATGAATCGTATGGTTACTTGGACTACCAAGGATTGCCAGCTTCGAACACCTATCAATATGAACCGTATGATTACTTGGACCAACAAGAATTGCCAGATTCGAACAATTATCAATATGAATCGTATGGTTACTTGGACTACCAAGGATTGCCAGCTTCGAACACTTATTAATAATAATCGTATGGTTACTCGGACTACCATGGATTGCCAGCTTCGAACACTTATCAATATGAATTGTATGGTTACTGGGAGTACCGAGGATTGCCAGCTTCGAACACATATCAACATGAAACGTACGGTTATTGGTTACAAGGACTACCAAGGGAAGTATAAGTCGGGTGTAGAGGATTTACGGCTACATTGGTGCAATTGGCCTAATTTATATATTATCCTTATTGAAAATTTCAGTTTGGGACACGAATTACATGGTTAACCGGTACCGAAGGTAGTAAGATTCACGGTTTTATTAATGCACTTGATTAGACTCACTCCAATATTACCAGTATTGAAAATTTATTGCGATTTTGGATTGGAACATGAATGGCATGGTTATTAACTGTTTACTACCAGGTGGTATAAACCAGTGATTCCCAAAGTGGGCGATATCGTCCACAAACACTGTGAGAGTTTGCAGATTTGAATTGTGAGGGCGATAATCACATGTCTACTACTCCCCCGTAAGGTAGTTCGCGTAGCCCAGGGTTTGGCAACCAACGGCCCGTGGGCATAATCCGACCCGCGAAGTAAAATAATCCGGCTCGCGACGCTTCACTGAATTATAGGGACAAAACGGCGGGTTTGAATTAATTATTCAATCTAAGAGTAGATCATATCTTTTACGTAACAGAATTTATCGTGAGACATGTTTAGAGTAAATTATATTATAACCTAATAATTTGGTGAACAGTTAATCGTTTAACGAGCCAACAATTTAAATATAATTAGACGAATCGGAGCACGCAAAAAAGTTGATGCTAAGTGCACTGGGCAGGGGTTCAATACCGCAGAAAATATTTAATTTAAATGGAGCTCCTTGAAAGCCAATGAAATGAGGACATAAAATCCATATGTTATATTTGAGAGATGCATCAATGCGTGAATTTTATAAAGATGTATCTTTTTGAAAATCTCTCCTAATTTGACAAAAATACTCTCTGGAAGACCACTAAGCTAATCTATCTCATTGAAAACACTATGATTTACCTTGTTTATTTGTTCTGTAGTATATTCATTTCTGACCTCAAATGTTTTTGTAAACTGGGGGGCGATGAAGTTGTATATATTACCGTATATATTACTGCGACTAAAAAGTTTGGGAACCACTGGTATAGACCATGATAATTTACAGATATATTTCTGCGTTTAATCGGATACTTTTTTTATAGTATGATACTATTTTGTGGCAAAACGAGTTTTGCCCATAAGATTAAACAAGTAAATTCTACACAGAATAATCAGGACTATGTTATCAATAACGTGATACCCGTAATAATAAAACATAAGAAATATAGACAAACCCGTGTATTTATTCTATTTCATCATTTATATAGATACACATAATATACACATAATAACCTAACACAGTGCTCTTTAACCGGGTATAAGTTGTGTAGTAGACAACTGATAAAGGGTATACGAGGGGTGTACAGTCTAAGTCGGGGATTCGAAACTCTGATATAATGAATTATAAAAGGGGCTCCCGAAGTATGCGAACCAAGATGGCGGACATCGGAATGTAATATGTGTACTAGGTTAGGGTTAGGCCATAATTTAGGTATAAATACTACGGGAGGCTCTTGGCTAGTCTTCGAACTGATAATAGGACTAAAATGAGGAAAATTGGAAAAAAATTATCGCCTAGCCCTAACCTGTTACCCATGTTACGTTCCGATGTCCGCCATCTTGGTTCGCATACTTCGGGAGCACCTTATAAAATATTCAAGCGGAGACAACAATGCAAACGCGGCACACATGAAATACAAAATGTCATTTACGCAAAGAACCGACGTGAGCATATTGTTACATCACAAATTATATAGATAATGCGGTCACGTGTCTGGATTGGTGATTTCGGCTGCCATGCACTTCGTTTGATTTACGTTGGAACATTATTCCCGCTGACGCAAAGGCCGTCAGGCAAATTTATAACTTGCGGACACTAGTCTATTAGATTGCATGATGATATTGCAGTACAGTATGTGATTGAAATTTAATGTTTATTTAAGCAAAAAAATTTTTTGCGGCATTCATTACGGAATCTCTTTCGCGGCGCGTAGAAAAAGTAATAATACAAGCGTCAAAATGATACTGAACAAGAAAAGGCTAAACACGCAATTATGATGTAGGCTACATTGACTTTGGATCGTTCAAGTAGTAAAACTCCTTGATTTTTGTTGCAACTGGGGATGCGATGATACTAAATGCCGTTGGGGCTTATTAGATAACATGTTTCACTGGCCAAAATCTTGCTTCAACAATACATTGCTGCATTTCTTCGCCGTTTTTGAACGGAATCGATGTAAAAATAAAATTTTAAATCGGAAAATGAGTTTTTGGATTTTCTTCAATAAGGATTATTCTTCCTTGGTTAAAAAAAGCGTTGCGCACTCTGATCCCCTTTGCGACTTCGTATTCATGCGAAGCAGGTTTTTCGACCATGGTCGTCATACGCACAAAATATTGATCTCGAGTAAATGTTAAGAGAAAAATGCGTGCGGCTCTAACAAATCTTACCAAGGTTTAGTAGCAATTGTGAAAAGACGAAAGTATTCCCATCCCATTAAATGCAATTTCACTGACTTTGGTTTAGTGTTCTTTGATCATTTGAAAAAAATTCATTGCAAAAATGGTCCTTTATTGGAAGGTATTAATACGGTTTTCACGAAAAGTCGCAACTTGAGCATATTTTTTTGAGGGTGTCACAATACGAAGAAATTTGAGAACCACTGCGTTACAGTATCGCCCTGGAAACGATATTTTAGTTTGGGGCTTGCATGGCGTGATTAACCAGTGCCAAATGGTATGGAATTCACATTGATACACTCGGTTGAACGTACTTATATAACATCGTTATTGGAAAGCTAATGTAATTCTAGCTTGAAACACGAATGGCACGGTTAACTGGTTACTACCATGGTCATAAACCATGATACTTTCAAATTACATATATAAGATTAGCCAGATTGGCCCATAAAATTAAATCAATAAGTTCTATGCAAAATAATAATGACTATGCTATCAATAAAAGAAGGCAATATACATATAAACATGACACAGGATATATACACATCCTTGTATCCGCAAAACTCAGTATGTACTCAATTTAATTCATTATAAATAGAAATGAGTTTTAATGTTTTAGAATTAATGATTTCCTCTCTATATTATTATTGATACCATGCTGTTCTAGCAGTTAGGTAGACGTTTCAATAAAGAAGTACTGGTACGCATATCTTGAGTATAATTTATTTTTTATTTTTATAAGTATAGTAAAGCTATGAAAATATTTTTACGAATTGTGGTGATTACAATGTAACTCTTGTTATGAAAATGCTCGCCACACCTCAAAAATAACCAGCTAGCAATAAGCTACATGTAACAAATAGTATGCTTCATTCAAAAATACCTTGAAAATACGGGGATGGACGGGAATAGAATGTAAATATCCAAAAAATGCACGATTAAGTCCAACAAACAAAAAATAGATTTAATTAGCCACATGCCCCCTAAAAAATTGTCTACGCCCCTTTTGAAAGGCGCGCCCCACCACTTGAGGACCATTGCCCCAGTGAATAATTGCTGATACCTTTTTAACGCTAAATAACAGTTTTTTTGGGTAGAATATTAAATTTCATGCCGGCGATACTAAGAAATGAACACGGGTCCGGTACTAAAGACTTTGCCATATAAAATTATTAGCGCGCATTGGTGCCTAAACTAACAGTATTACTGCAAACAAAAGGGGAAAAGTTCCTTCTCAACAATGACGAAAATCTGACAAAATTTGGAACAAAGTAATGCAAGTTTTATTCCGAATATTGGGCGGTAATATGACAAAAACACGATTTTTTATTGCTAAAATTCCTTCTTGTTTTATTCGCTTATTAGCCAGAAAAAAAAACAATAGTTGTCCGAATCATGATATTATAAAGTATTTGGGGGATTTTCCAAAAAAAATTCATTTGACAGACAAACCAAAGCTGAGCTTCTATAAAAATAATACTTTGTCAGCAGGTTTCCCGAAAAAATTACAGATATTATTTATTGATAGATATACAAGTAATTTACACGATTGGAAAAACAAATCAGTTTCAAATTGCATTTAACAAAATAAATAACATTATACGACGATGAGACACATGCTAATAAATATAGACATAAGCAGGCATGTCCATGAGACATGTTTTTCTCTCCCATTCCGATCCCATAGCCATTATCCTTGTCCTTCCCCATCCCATCCCATGGGATTCCCATTGGAATAAAATTCAATAAAAATTGTTAAATTCAGGTTTAGCGTCTAATAAATAGGACTACATGTAAGAAGAGACATGCAAAACAACAACATTTACGGACTTAGTCAACTTTTTATTCCTAACTATTATATATGTGTCCATCAGCCCTTTCACGAAGTATATTATTAATGCTGAATATGTTTTGCTCTTTATAACCAACAAGAGAGCTATGCTCAAATATATGGACACGAAATCCATAACGAAATTTTTTACCATCATTTCCCTGAAAATCATATGGTTTTCGTGTCCCACGCGTCCCATGGGAAATACAAAGGTGTGTTATCCCATCCCATCTCATGGCACGTTTCCCATGGACAAGCCTGGACATAAGGTAACTTTGCGATAATGCGTATCCATATTAAGTTTTTGGCCACTCGGAAGCGTTGACACAAAATCTTAATATGGTGAGCTGGAGTGAATATTTAATTATTAGATGCAAACAGCTAATTTTCAAAGAGATGCTAAAATTGTACAATATTCCGCCTAAAACTCAGCTATTAAACATGTACAACGATACTTCAAACACTTTTACGAAAATTTCTTCCCTGGTCTATTAAGGCATAGGTTCTCAAAGTGCTCCGTGGGAGAAACTTAGGCGCTCCGATTACTTAATAAAATACTGACTTGTCCAATTTTGTGACTGTCCAAAGAAGTAATAACACTAATAAAATTTGACATCAGTAGTGTCGAAATATGACAACGAGCGCAAATTCAAATGTGACATTATATATAAGTAAGATCGCAGAGGATAAAAAGTTGTCTCTCGAGTAAAATATTCAATTCATAGCCGGTGCGAGCATTCAAAATATCTTGTCATAGTAATTTATTTGTGTTCTTCGTTACTCGAATTTTAGTCGGGAAAACTTTTACGATTATTTAATAAATGAAAAATCACTATTTGAAAATTGCACGAAATACGTCCCAAACTGCCAACTATAAGTAGACCGGAATCGTATTTTGAAGTTAATCAAATTTGATTTGTTTTTTCGGCACTCAAAATTATTTTAAAGATATCGACAAAATACGAACGATTGTAATTTAAAATATTGCAAAAAAAAATGTTCGATATATTTTGCATTAATTATCTTATATATCGTCACATACAGAGAAAAAGTCGTATTGGGCTCCATCGGTAGTTTCAAAATAGACAAAAGGTACATCGCGCGAACAATTTACTGTGTTTCCATTTCAGTTCCTATATGGTATACATTTTAAAGAAATCCTAACATAACACAAATTTACAATGTCTGAAAAGCGTTTTCAATCTGCTGTGAGACTGCTAGAACAAAACTTATGGTGATATCTTCCGTTTTAGATTTTAGTTTTAATATTTTATAATGCCGGTTTTCAATTAAGAAATTGGGTTGCAAATTCACCTGGTATTAAGCCTATTAAAATGTTTAGCATTTAAATTAAGTAAAGTAATTTTAACTTATTTAGGAATAGTAATAGATACCAATTTTAAAATTGATTGTGGGGATCCGTGAATAGTGGTGATGAATGTAAATTAGAAAGATTCAAAAGATTTTAATAACATACTTGCTCTTTAGACTCGAGGCAGCCACCTCTCTCAGTGATGCATAATCGGACGAATAACCCCGCATGTCTTTAGATATAATGATGAATTGTCTTTCCCTCTTTCAAGAAGTGTTTCAGAAAGCTGAAATTTATATGAGATAATGAAATGTAGGTAAATTTTGTATGATATTGATTTGAATTATATATAGATGTTCGAACTACGTCATTATTAAGTTTGAGGTTTATAAGTTACAGAAAATGTAATTTGACAGGAGCACAGAGAAACTATGCTTATACTTTAGAGTTTAGATACATAAAAATGAAAATATTAATTGTCAGTTCATTGACAAATTATTCACAGATTTCCCCCTAAATTACAAATATTACTTTGGAATGATTTGTCAGCGTATAATATTGCAACACATCATATAAAATATATTTATATTCATGAAGAGCACGTTGAAAATACGGCTACATATTCAAGAAAGGAAAATATCGAAAATAAGGCGGGAAAGATAAAATCTAACAAATTTTTCCTTTACGCCCCTCAATAAATTGTCCACGCCCTTGTGATAAGCTATGCTTATTCTAAAGATACAAAGACGACAACTTGTAGCATACTGATATCCATTTACATTCATTCTATATTATTTGCAGATTTTCAATATTATAAATATTACTTATTTTGAATGATCTGTCAGTGTGCTATGTTGTATCTCATTATCTAAATCTTAAATAGTTAATAGTTTATTAGTGTGTTATATTTTACCTTCAAGTTCTCTATAGTCTTTCCCTCCCAGCAACTTCCTGAAAATATAGGTCAATAAATAACTTCAGCCACAGACATTGTAGACATATATATATATATATAATAAGAACAGGACAGATTATTACTACGGAATAAACGATAAGGAAATAAGAATTATATTTCCAGATTCGAAAACTTATGAACATGGGACGGTATGATTACTGAGACTACTAGCAACGGATATATAGGCTGACTATAGTAGATTTACAATTTGGTGGGATCTCATGTATATAGTGATCTTTAAACTGGTTATCGAGCAGCGACACCCAAGTTTCTAATATCTAATTAAAAAAGTAAGAATTCCAGAGTTTTGAAACTACTATATCTTATATTGACGGTGTGTGCCGTATAAACGATTCAACTAACACCATTCAGTAGAGATTATAAACGAGAGTTTATATGAATTAAGCTCTTCACACGTGATTAGGCATAACACGACGTGACCCGCACCAACAATAGGGAAAATATGACATATATTCCCATGTCTCTAAATTTAAACAGTCATGAACATATGAATACTTAGCACTTTTACCAAGGGGATATGGACCAAAAAAAGTTTACACTTGGTTGAATATAATTTACACAGTATTGTTTTTGAAAATTTTAGTTGGGACACGAGTTCTTTAAGGTGTAAGATTAACGGCTATCTTAATACACTTAGTATGACTCACTCTTATAATATCATTATTGGAAATTTGGGGCGATTTCAGTTTGAAGTATAGTTGGGAACATCAATGACATGGTTATCAACTGTTTACTACCAGAGCGTTTACTACCACGATGAGCTACAGTTAAATTTAAGACATTAGTCTGATTACCATTATCATTTGTGGCAAAAACGCTCATCAGATTAATAAAAAAGGCCAGGACTACGATTTCAGGGAAATTAGGCATATTAGTGTGTATATAGGCACCCCATGATAAACAACAAGGTAAACAATAAGTTTTAATATTTGCATGGTTATTAAGTTGGGGTTGTGTTTTAACCGAATTGCACTTAACGAGGCATAGTTCAAATCCTTTCAGTATCTCTGCAGATATACACTGCTGGATTAACTTATAGTATCACTTTAAAAAAATTCACTGTTTGTAGTAATCACAACGTGACGCCCTATTGCGATGAAACGCCTTTTATTTATGCTGACCCAATGAACTTTACCTAAACTGACATTACAAGATAGTAATTGGTCTTTCGGTTTGGACGATTAAACGAAACAACAGCAGATGGGACAACACAGCAGTTAGCCCCTGAACGTGCAGCGCTATACTGACTACGCCATTATTCACCGGATATTGCTACAGTTAATTTGTAGTACAGAATAGTTAATTTCGCGATTATACTCAAAATATTAAAAGTAATAATTTGTCTGTCGATTTCCCGAAAAAAATACAACATATTATTTATTTATAGACATGTAAATTGAAAGATTTCAAATGATATGATTACATACTTGCTCTTCAGACTTGATAGGCCTCCATCTCACTCAGTGATGAAAATCTGACACTTGACGAATTTCTTTTGGTGCAATGATAAATTGTTCTGTCGACTTTCAAGCAGTGTTTTAAAACGCTGAAAATCAATATATAGATCGTGATTTTGTGTAAGTCAATTCTAAATTTGAATTAAACTAAATTTCATGGAGCCAACTATGCCATTTTCAGGTAGTTAATTCACACAAATGTTATTTGACAGAGACACTACAAAGCTATGCTTATGCTAAAGATACAAAAAACCAACTATGTAATTCAATTGAGGTCATTTTCAACTATGTCGCTGATTTCACCAAATTTACATCCTTTAGTTAAAATGATATGTTAGTGTATCATATTGTACCTCATTTTGTATTGTTAAAGTGAGACTCTTTTCTGAATATTTTCTTCTAAAAATATACGTAAGTTTTAATAAAATACGTAACGGGTAAATTTCGACATTTAATTTCATAAAATCTAAAATTTAGACGAATAGACATTGTTAAAGTAAGACTCTTTTCTGAATATTTTCTTCTAAAAATATACGTAAGTTTTAATAAAATACGTAACGGGTAAATTTCGACATTTAATTTCATAAAATCTAAAATTAATAGATGAATAAATGACGAATAGACGAATAAAATTTATTCAGCGATTGCCATTAAATTTCAAATATAAACTCTATAACATATCAGGTGTAGTTTTCAAACTGCACAAATGGCAAATATTACAATAACAATAAAATACTCAATGAAGTTTTATAACTGTTTCATGGAGTATATGACTAATTAATTACCTCTGATCAGTAATTTGTAGCATTTTCACATTGTTCACGGTAGAGATCGCAAACTGGGAATCGCTATCCAGCAGGGAAGCGCGCAACGAATTTTAGGGGTCGCAAAGAGTACACCAATTTGATACAAGATACTATATTTATAGTACTTTTTTGGACTTCTGCTTCGAAACACAATTATTAAAGCTTGTGCAAAATCTAAATCTTACAATTTCGATAGAATGCACAGGATCAAAAAAGCGACATAACAATGTTGGGACCTCCTGAAGTATGCGCACCAAGATGGCGCACAACCTGAACTCAGGTTGTGTACCTGGTTAGGGTTCAGGTTATGCGACATTTTGGTGCGCATACATCAGGAGCACCCAATGTTGGCTTGCATCGAACTATTTAGCATTTTAAACGTGAACGTGGGTTTGACTTTTTTGGACTTTTGATTCGAAAGACAATTATCAAAACTTATGAAAATATAAATCTTGCAATTTCGAGAGAAAACACATGATCAAATAAGTGGCATAACAATGCTGACTGTGATCGCAAGATCAGAGACGCGGTGCGCTCGCATTTTTCAGCATTTTAAATAAAAACAGTGGTATACGAGGTGCGGCTAAAATGAAACGGGACTGACGTCACAGATTGCGCAATACGATTAAACATCGGTAATCAAAATTTTTGCAGTGTGGCGTAATATGTGTTCTTTGTTTAACAGCTGTTTTGACACAATATCGCAATTATTTTTGCTTTTCAGGATCCAAAAGTGAATGTGATGAATTTCTTGTTGAAAAAAAATGCTGTGCGAGGTCTGATTGAGCTTTTTGGCGATAGGGGGTTCGATTGCAGAATGACGATTGAGCAAAGAATTAACATTAAATTTTGTGTCGAACTCGTACAGGAATCAATAGGCGTCGGAAGTCAAATAAAATGTTCAAATAATATTTACTTGTAATATTCCTCGTTCTTTAGTTTGTGTCTTTGAATCTTTAACCTTTAATATTTCTTCATCTGAAAAAAGTTAAGATATTGATAAATAAACTGTCGCAGAACTGTAGCTAGCATATTCAATGGACAGCGGGACTGAATTTATCGGATCTTTTGCACAAAGCTCCCGCCACGTTTTAAAATGACATATTAGTAATTATCCATTTGGGGTTAGGAATGATTTAAAAATTTGAATTTCCAGTGCAATCTGCATTCCTAACTTAAACTGGATAATTACTAATTCTCTTATTTTGAACGTTGGTAGGGTCTTTGTACAAAGATCCAATCCATACACAATAATATATTAAAGTAAAAAGGCTATGGCGAATCTCTATTAAACCATGGATTTTGCGCTGCATTTGCGAAAGTTTTGAAAGTAATGCATTACATTCATGTTAAGCGTACCATGTTGAATGCAGCTTACGTAGTTACGTAGATCAATGTGTTACGTTTGAGTTTCTTCATGATAAGCTTATGTATTGTCATATAGGTTTTAAGTTTGGCCTATTTGTGAGAAAACGATGGAACCCGCTGTTAGTGAGTTGGATGCAGAAGAGAATCATCCATCAATCTAGACTTCTGTATTAGTTAATAAGTCCAATTCGTATAGGCCCGAAAACCTCTAATTTACCACTTATACAATAGTAAAATGAAAGCAATATAATAGCAATGAAAACAATGGGTATAAAGAACATTTAACTCACCTGAATATTGTTTCGAACTCGCTGTCCTAACCCAACAGCAGCCTATCCATACATCCTACACAAAATCAAATCTTATCCTATCACGAACATTTGTGACTGACTGAAAGCGATGTCGCTTGTGGCTTCCCGCGCAAAAATATCTGACGAAAAAAGCTATCTGATTGTTGGTAATCAAATGTTTTTACCTGATTACTTTAATTACTCCAGGTTGTCGTTACAAGCCGATCACGCTTCTGACGCGTGATCTCAAAGTTGCAGAATGCAAATGGCGGTTGGATTTGCTTTATTCATAGTATAATACCTAGTTCACAGTAATATTCTCAGGATCTTTTGTAACAAGCCCCGCCCCAAAACAACACCCCGCCAACGCTCGAATTAAATAAAAATAGTACTTATTCAGTTAAGGTGAGGGATGCAGATTCAGCCGGAAATTCAAATTTTCGAATCGTTCTAACCCAAAACCCTAACTGCATAATTACTCATTTTTTATTTTAAAACTTGACAGGGGTGTTTAGCTCAGATCACACATTTTTGCATCAGTGACGGGAGCTTAGTACAAAGAATCCAGCAATTCCATTATATTTGTCTGTTTACATTTGTCGAGTAAACGCGCACGTGAATGCCATCAAAAATGTAACCGTCCTACAACTCAATGAAAGAATAACGGCGTGTACAGGTTCAGCGTTATATCAATGCATTCTCTGCATTGGCGTACAAATCTTAGCTCATTAACTGGCGCATAGCCAAGAATACTTTTAAGTTTTCTTACTATAACGTGCGGGCGATGTCGTTAAAAGGAGGTCAATGTGACGTTGTTTCGATGCCTACTATATAGTAATTTCTTCGCCCAAACCAAACGGCGGAGACATAACATCAGCAAGAGATTAATCACGGTTCTATGTGAAGTAAATAATTGACTGCTCAAGACAAGAGCATACCGACGACAACAACTGATGATATATAGATCAACTATTCGAGACCATTCAAATATTTGGTGTTATGGAGCTCGTGAAGAGGTGGACTGTTATTGACGTAGCCCCACAATAAGAACGTAACAAAAACAAATTGTTACTTAGCGATCAATATTGATGGGTGAATTGAAATTACTCTATTTAATACCTCAGATGTATTTGCTGCTGCTTAAATTTTATTAATGCCATTTTGAGTAGACGAATAGATCGCGGAGACCTTAGGTCCGTTTGAAGCACTTTGAGTCTGTCTCTAGATTAGACCTCTTGGTAAAGAACGATCATGATACAGGTATGTAAGGCCGTAAAGAACATTCCTGAGATTTCAACACCCAGGGGAAGGGTATACACGTATTTTAATGTATTTAGTATCTATGTCAGCCAGTGCACTGCAGCTGACTACGTTTGCGTTGAGTGGCGCATCGTGCTAAGCCCTAGGAATGCGCTTGATTTCTAACCTAAGACTACCCCGCTTAGATTCGCAGGTTCAAATCCCGTAGGGGATAATTTAGTACCAGAGGATTGCTGGCGGCTTCCTCCCGCCACCCCTACCCCAAGCCACAGAACACTTGCACTTTTTAGGTCGCTTCGCGGAACACCAAAAATGAAATTGATAAAGAAAAATGATGCAATGCAGCGAGTTGCTAAATGCGCCGCGAATACCTAAAATATGATTGGATATTTTTGTTTTGTTTTTTAATTTAAATGCTGGGTATATGAATTAATAAATTATTTCACCTTTCTATGTCGATTACTTTTCATTACGTAGTGTGTGCCTTTAATGTTACGTAACAATGGAGTACTTTTATTTATCTGCTCAATCTATTATTATTTATCCACTGAATCGAGTTTAGCAAACATAAGTAATTTTTTCCGCATTTTAAAGTGTAACCAGGCAGAGGTGGAGGAAGAAAAGTTGACCTTTTGCCATTATCCTTTAGGCATACATGTTTACCTACAGCAAAACCAAAAGCTGTAAACTTGATATTGAACTTGACAATCAAAAAGCTAGGCCGACGGTTAACGAAAATGCCACCACCCGCAAAAAGTTTGTCAGCTTTAGGCCGACGGTGACGCGATATTCAACAGTCGTTAGTTGGGCGACAACTTTACGATGACGTGATTGACATGGCGACCAATTTAGCCCTAAGCGAACGCCATATAAAAAAGATGTTTTCTTGTAGGCTTTCCCACTACCGGAGGAAAAAATCTCATTATGTATAATTTTTGCAGCCATAGATTAAACATTTACATAAAGTCATCAGCTCCACGAAACTAGGGCTCAACGTCTCAACTTCTTAACTTTGGCCGCGAGTAGGGCTAGCCTAAATTTTACTGGTTGGCAAAATTGGCCCGACTTCGCTCAGTTGGATGATTCGTGTCAACCATAACATCGACTGATGGATTTCATTAATCATCTTGCACAATTTCATTGATCATTTGAAGGCTCTCTCCTAACTTTCCAAGCTAAGGAAGAACGCAAGAGAATCGATTCCGGCCCATTACAAGTTGAAGCAGTGAGGAAAGCTTACTTGTGCCTTTATGGGTTTCGCTTTGGGTAGGATCTTCATATAAGCGCGACTGGACTGAGGTCTGAACTCTGGATCTCCAGTTGGATAATGTATATTTAATACACTGACTTGTAAAGATCCATTTGTACACTCAGTGTCCAATGAGAGGATGAGCTGAAAAAGCCTAACTTGGTAACATCACGCGCACTCACTCAGAAATACAGGAGACCGATATCTGAGCAAAGTTACAGGCCAACACACTAAACTGCCAAGAAAGACTATAAAAAGACATGATATACTCGACATAGTCGACCACATGTTGGAAGTACAGTAAGTTGGTCTCGCGCAATCCAACTCGTAATCCATTTAGATTCGCCAATATTATAAAACTTACGACACTTGCATAAATATAATTTTGTGTCTCCAGTATTAGATTTTCTATATGTAGCCTACTATTCAAACAACTGAACTATCGCACTATTGGATTCCTCGGGCCCCTTAAATGTTCCACTGGAATTATGCTTCACCAAAAAAAAAAAAATTCAAAACCACTGGGTTGCATCAATAAATGATTCCATGTTTGATAACTTGACTAACTGGACAGCATAACCGATTTTTAATCGCATAACCCACACGGACTGGTAACCTGGCAAAAGGGCGTGGTACTCAGGTTTGATTACGCAGTCATTTCGGCTTTCATCACCCCCACCGGATTGTGTGTGGAAATGCTTCTTAAATTTCATATTTTTTTTTTGAAACTTCATCGCTTTTGGCAGAATCCAAAAATCGAAAATACCTTAGAAGAGTGAGTAATTTGATACATAACATTATCACATTGCACCAAAACTTGTAGGGTCACATTTTTGCCAGAACAGCCATAGACCACTCACAACACTATCACCCTTGTGTGGTGCATACCATATATGTACACACCCTTTAAACTTGACCATTTCCCCGTTTTATAGTATATATGTGGTATCATCACTCAATGGTATTGTACTTACATCCAAATTCTTAATCTTATTACTATATTTACATGCAGTGTGTTTCATGTTGTGTTGTGTCTGTATTTATATAGATGTTGTTTTGTTATACAAACTCCTTTGTACACACAGTTTTGGATACTCCACTCTTACCTCTGTTACCAAACCCACCCACCCTCCTTGCACAACTGTCTGTATAAAGGACCATATTATACGTATTTGATGTACCGTAATATAATTTATACATATCAAAAGGGATGTATGACGCACATTCGTGTTTTAGGCCAGTATGATCTTGTGCATACATACCGTATTCAGTATTTATAATTACTAATTCTTTTATATTGCTTTTACGAGACGAATAAACATACATACATACACCGGACCAATATGTAAATCCTATCCCTTTCTTACAAACTTTTAGTAATAATATACAATAAACATATATAACCGCACGAACAAACGCAGCATGTTAATTACCGAATTAGCCTCGACAAAAAAACCTGCCTATAAGTAATATTTTGACGGCGGTGTCCTCGTCAGTCACCGTAGCGCAGGGGTAGCGACTAGGTGCCGCTGAGCGTAAGTCTTTGGAGGATGAACTGATAGTAAGCCCCAAAACGGCCAAATATCAGTGAATAGCTCTAGAATAGAGCAAAATAGTATTGAAAAAGACGTTCTTACCACTTTGTGTCTAACTTTAAATGCCATGAAATCGTTTGTTTCAAAATTTCGGATCTTAGGGCAAAAAATAAACACACTCGCTACCACTCAAAATTAAAAAAAAAAAAGATTGCGCAAGAAATTCCAATTTTCAAATCATTCCTAACACTAACTAGATAAATACCAATTTTTAAACGATGCGGACCGTTTGCGTGTAAAGCGAACGTGATGACCACTACACTACAGAAACGCATACGCCGGTGGGTCATATTAAAATGAACAATACTCTTGGGAGACTTCTATATAGGGAAACATATACACCCGTGGTTCGTGAAATCGGCTTGAAACCGACCCTGATGTCTTTCCGTAGTGTAGTGGTCATCGCGTTTGCAAACGGTCCTTCCAAAGTGAGAAACATGTTTTCCTGTTAACATTTCGCTCTAGCCTAAAATCTTTGACGGATCTCGTTCATCGCCGTAAGAAATGGTGCATATTATGAACTTAGGTATCCTTTTTAAAGTATAAATTAACCCTTCGTGGTAGATTTTTACTTCCTCCTAATATCTCGAAATACTTTTAAGATGAAATGAATATTTGCTCGAACAATCGATAATAACCGAATGTATTTTTATCATAATTATCACACATTTAAGAAAAATGGGTTGAAATGCTGAAATTAATCAGTTGTTAAAAACATCTCAAATACAATAAGTAATTAAAGTTTAACTTCAGTGGGAAGTATTGCGGTAAACTTATAAATGAAAATAGTTGTCAAATCACCGACTTTTTTTTTAATTCTAGATAAGTAATTTTATCCGTTGCTAAAACGTGGAGATAATGAAGATAGACATTTCAAGTTGCTCAATTTAAAGCGTAAAAGTGTGGAATCGAGTAATATATGAACCGATTAAAATGAACAGGAGACGGATTAAAATATGCAG